TGTTGTAATCCCTTCTCCTACAGAAGTCTGCCCTAGAGGAGGCCTTCGCTCAGTCTCCAGGCCATGGGAGTCTGGCTTCACCTACCAAGGGCAAATATCCTGAATATCCTCGTTCCGAGTATGAAGAAGAATCTGGGACCTACGCACTTCAGGCCCACGCACCCACATATCCTTATCAGGGATATCAGGGCTCCTCTCTTTCCTCCTCTAGTTCCTGACTTAGCATGAGAAACCTGTTGGGTTGTGAACTCAACTTCCTTTGTAGGTCTGTTGTACATAAGGTCAAAGCTGAGGCCCTATTTTTCCACAATTCAACCCTCTGTCTACAGCAGATGAGACTTCTTTTAAATGAGGGCATGGCGGGCCAGCTTGGTGGCATAGTGGTTAAGGGGGCTGGATTCCATAAGGCTGAGTATGCGGTCTGAGTCCTGGACCCAGAGGCTTGAAAGACCTGCCAGGTGTGTGTGTGTGTCTAAAAATCCTGAGAGGAAAATGGAAGAGAGAGGAGACTGTGGTTTGGCCATCCTCCCTGGAGCTTGCTTTCTCACTTTCTCTCTCTCTCTTTCTCTCTCTCTCCTCTCTCTCTCTCTCTCCAGCAAGTGCTTGTACCCTAAAGCAAATTAAAGAAAAAAAATAGTATAAGTGATGGCATAGAAAATTTTTGGCTTTTGGGGGGGGGAGGGCAGCTGGCAGTGTGATGGCTGAGACGCTAAACTCCCACATGGTTGACCACAGTTCGAGTCCTGGACCTAGCGGCTTGCTTTCTCATTTTCCCCTCTCACTCTGGTCAAAGTCAAATAACAGATAATAAATAAAATTAAAAATAGATAATTATTTTAAACAAAAAAGAAAAGAAAATGTCTGGCTTTTGACCCACGCTCTCAGTTCATGATTCCCTAACCTGAGCCTGTTATGTCCTTCTGTCGTGGCTTCTCTAGAAGTTACCGACTACCAACCAACCAGCTCCACAGTTACCACTGACCCCGGACCTTTCGGTACAAGATGTACTCTCAGCCAGGGCGTTCTCTTCCACCTGCACGCTCCCCCAGGTCATCCCACGTGAGACTCTTAGTAATAGCGATGCCATGGCATGCCAGACGTGGTCACCACCCTACTGACCCACAGCAATGGGGTCTTTGTTGCCATCTGGTCTTCACTGACCTGCCTTCGCTGACTAGAAAGTGAGCCAGTTTTAGAATCTCATTCAGAGGAACTCCGTCCTCGGACACTTCTAGCCCTTACTGATGTAGACTGAATTCCTCTATAACGAGGGACTGAGTGCAAATGATATTTCTAAAGTGCGAAATGTGACACCAAGAAGAATGGGGACAGGAGTGGAGAAGTGAGACGGGCTAGGAAAGAAACGGATACCATCGAGAACTCGCCCAGGTCACCACGGAGAACAGCCCCACAGAGAAGAGGGCGACACACGCCCAGGTCACCCCACCCCAGGGGGCAAAGAAGCTGGGTGCTGGTCCTTCAGCTCCCACTCGCTCTTGGCTGACTCTCCCCTAGCATGAACCTGCCTCACAGACGGGGAGGGAGAAGCCCGAGGCTACAGACAGAGTGACAAGAGCTTCCGGTGAGGCTGCTTCGTCCTGGGTGATCACAGAGGAGAATGCTGGTTGTCCCCTGGACATAGTCCACGGCTTCCTGTCTAAATGAGCACGTGCCCCAATTATCACTCCTTCCTGTTCACGGCTTTCTTTTTCTCCACGGCAGAATTTCTACCTGACATGACACAGATTACAAGACACTGTCTGGTTTATTCGCCACCATATCCCCACGCCAACAGGGCCTAAGACACCGTATGACACAATAACTACTTCTGCTTGACCGAGTGAATTTTTGAAAAATTAACATCGGGACCAGCAGTTAGCGTAATGGCTATGTCACTGGACTCCCATGTGGTCAATCGCAGTTCGAGTCCCGGACCTGGTGGCTTAAACTCACACCGGGCACGTGTGCGTGCGTGCCCAAGATCCCGAGAGGAGAATGGAGAAGGGATAGCGG